CTTAGAGGAAGGGGTTGTATGTTCGGTTTAATGATCTTGACTTCCTAGCCCTTACTTCCTCAAATTTAGAGAAGATATGCAATCATGAACCACATCAATTAGTTAATTTATGAGAAAATAAGATATTCTCTTATGATTTATTTAGTGAATCTATTTAATAATTCATAATTACTTATTCACTTTGTACAAAATGAATAATATTTGTTTTTTGTTTGAAAAGAACATTGTACATGTTGAGTTGTAATTATACAATAATATTAGTAAATAGGATAATTATGGACTAATTAATTAAATAAGTGAGTATTAAGATAAGTTGTTAATGTACAATAAATAATAGTTTGTAACTTGAAAACATTAACAACAATAGATCTACTATTGGGTTTAATTTATTACGAGATTTAATTTGATTTATATGGTGTTTTTATAACATCTTTCTTTATTCGCCTTCTTCTTTTCCTTTTAGTAAATGGTTATTTTAAATTTCACAAAATCATTATTTAATGTAAAAATTCTTTTTTAATGAGTGATCAGTACTATTTTAAGAAAAAAATTAAAATATTTCTAGAGTAACTAATATTATACTTATAATAGTTTCATTATGGGCATATTTTTGAAAAGAAAAATAAACAAAAAAAAGAAAAAGAAAAATCATATCCGGACCTAAAAAAATATAAGAATATTTATATCTAGCCTCATTTTTTTTAATTTTCTCTTTTATATTTCTCTCTTCTCTTTATGAAGTATTAGAGGATAAAATATATCATTTACCGAGCTCTCGCCTAACAATTTAAACTTTTGGGTTGAGATGATTATTTGACATGGTATCAAAACTTTGCCAACCTAACGGTCAAAAGTTCAAATCCTGCTGCACCCACTTTCTCTTCTAATTAATTAAGCATAAGGTAGTGTGAGCCTATATAAGTTTTAATCCCAAATGGCTTTTACTTGAGGGTATATGTTAGAGAATAATGTAAATCATAGTTTAAAACCTCACATAACAAGGTAATTACTAGACATATAAATTTTTTCGAGTCTTTTTTTTTCTTTTGCTTTTATCTATTCATGGATTGAAAATAATTTTTAATCCACAAGATAATAACGTATTAGTAAGCAAACGTCGACTTATGGGTTAGGTTCGGGATTCGATTCTTGTGACTAGCATTTCTAAAAATTTATTCGAGGATGTGCGTTAGGAAGTGATCCTTAGCCACTTCTAGGAAAAGATTAATCTCAAGGTGTGTAAAAGTTGGCATGAGGGCATCCTTATTGTTAAATCTAAAAATAAAAAATAAAAAAATTTACTATTTTTAGTGTATGATTGATACCATTTCAAGAATATTTTTTTTCTTACATGCAATGAAAAAAAGACGAGGAAACTTTTGAATGTTTTTTGTTTTAACATTTAAAGTACTTCTTGACATGTTTTTATTCACATGATCTATACTAATATATTCAAATTTCTTTCTCCTTGTTTTTTTATTGAATTCTAACCAGCTATGATAATTATTCAATATATTCCAAAAAAGTGCTTCAAAAGAAAGTCCGGGGACTAGACATGGTAACGGTTCTTGAACCATCGGTTTCGGTTTAGGAACCACTTGCTAAGGTTTCACCAAAAGGTGAAACCTGAACCAAACCTTCTATGGATGGTTATGATTCCGGTTTGAAATCATAAAACCAATGGTTCTAAATCGTTCGGAAGCGACGGCTCAACGAGTTTTTTATTAAATGAAAAAATAAAAAAAATTGAATATTTTTTCTCAAGTATAAATCAAACATTAATATTGAAACGAAAAAACTTCTTTTTTGCATAATGTATAAATATTATAATATTTTTTACATTATAATGTATTTCGCACAATAAATCAAGGGAAAAACGAAATAAATAAAGAAGGGCTTGAACTTAATTTTTGTAAAAACTACGAAAATTAAGCTTCCTACGTATCCTCTTGGGGTTTAGAGGAATCAAAGCTTATGTAGTTCTCTTTTACATTTCAAATTACCCCTTTACATATTACACCTATGTTCTATATAGCTATGCCTAGTTGCTTTCTTGACCACAAGTTACGGCTTCGAAGTTTCTATTGTTATCGTTGTCGGGTGTTAGATCCACACTTTCTTTATTGAAATCATATTGTTTTTGTTCTTGTGTTCTCTTGTCAACTCTTATCCAATCATCCACGCATACTTAGGCTTCAAGTGACTCGGGAGCCAATTATGATCGCTTATTATCTAAAATATTACTTCCGAAGCTAAATGCTCTTTCAACGGTACGTTGTTGAAGGCGGCACGACAAGTATTTGTCTAGCTACTATGGATAGGATCGGAAAGGTGCTCGCATGACTTTTCCACCAATCAATTACTTTAAAATCTACACATGCATTGCTATCACCAAACTCAAACACGGTTGTTAGATAAATATCAAGCTTGGAAATGGAGTCCGATGATTCTCTTGGCCTTTTTGTCCTTTCCATGGCTATAAGATAACCTAGCTCTAACACGTTGGCTACTTGATGATGATTGTGGCATAAGTGGTAAAGAGAAACTAGCATGTTGATCACCCACGAGTTAAAGACATTTCAATATATAAATTTCTAACTTGATTTATAATAGAAGCGGTTTCTAATTCTATATTTCTATCAAATAATTGCAAATACTCATAGTAAATATTCGAACAATGAGAAAGACCTTCCATTCTAAATCTAGGATCAAAGACTAAAGCAACAAGATAAATAGGTGGAATTGTTTCATAATAACTTAACCATTTTTGTTTCATTATTTGAACGAGCATCATGTAAAGTTGACATACCTTGTTCTACATGATTAAAAGCTTCAATAATATTAATTGCTTCAATCATAAATAAATGTGAAGTTGGTTGTTAAACGACACTAAAAATGTATGTTGCATTGTTAAAAACAGAATAAAAGTTTGAAAAGTGGTTCTTTCAAAAGTGGTTCACAAATATCAAAATCATTTTGACAAATAAAAACAGAATCAATATTTTTTTGAAAAAAATGAGCATAATAAATCTCGATATTCAAATGACTCGCCTAAGTAAGTCATAAGTTGAATTCCAATGAGTTGGAACATCATTTGAAAATCGTCTTGGTTTTTTGTTTCTTTCTTTGCAAAACTTTTCTCATGATTTCATCTTTTGGGCATGCATCCATAAATATTTAGCAAGAGCTTTAATTGGCCTAACAATATCTTTAAGATATTCCAAACCAGATTGCACACATAAATTTAAAACATGACATACGCATCTAATATGAAAAAACTTACCTCCAAGATGAGGTTGACAAAGTTCTTTTAAAAAGTCTATTGAAGCATCATTATAACTAGAATTATCAAAAGAAATTGAAGATATTTTTAAAGGTAAAACATATTCATCTAAAATCATTTTTAGTATCTTATATATATTTTGAGCGAGTGTGTTTATCATCAAAAACTCTATATGCAAGAAGACGTTTTTGCATGTGCCATTCATTATCAATCCAATGACAAGTTACACCCATAAAGGAGTGAGTTTGCCATTGATTAGACCATATATCGGAACATATAGAAACACGATCATTCAAATTTGTAAATAATATAGTTAATTCTCTTTTTTTTATCTCTATACAATTTTATAACTATTTTTTTAAAAAAAATGTCTTTCAACTTGTTTGAAAGCGAGATTCAAAGCGTTAGAATAATAATTACTAAAACCCATTTTTTGACCAAAACTAAAAGATAAATGATCAATACATATCATTTTAGCCATTTCTTCTTTATTTTTTTATCGGTATATTGAAATAAAAAGGAAGATTGAGAAGCAAACCCGGATATTTGTATCCGATGTTTATCATTACCAAGTACGGATGGATGCTTTTTCTCCTAGTGGGTTTTGAATGTTCCATAACCACCTCCTTGTTTGAATGTGTATTGCTTGTTGCGGTAGTTACAAATCATAGTAAAAATGCTTTTTTCTAAAGGAACTTTTGAGAAATGAATTTTGAAGATGTCGGATGATCTAAGTATAAAATTTGATTGGCGGTATTACTTTGTTGTGATGGCATATGTGAACTTGAACTTGCCATTTTTTGTAGTATAAAACAATAAAAATGTAAAAAATTTAAGAAGTATTTGGAGTATAAAAAATATTGTAGGACGAGTATTGAGAATTCTAGATTTAAGAGTTTAAGAGATTGAGAGAGAATGAGAGATTGAGTTGTGAGGATAATAAAAAAATTGAGAGTATATTTATAGGGAAAAAAAAACAATCACATTTGTGACCATTGACAAATGGTCACACACACACACACACACACACATATATATTAAGCCCAAAAATTAAAAATTATTAGGCTTAATTTTTATTTTTTTATTTTTCGGTCCAATAGCTATTGTCTAGCCCATATAAAATTAGTTTTTTTTATTTAAATTTTTTCATTTTTTCGACCCAACCTAAATTTATTAGGAAAGATATGGAACCGTTGGTTCTACGGTTAACCATCGGTTTCGATTCCATGATACCTTAAACCATAACTAACCCATAGGTAGTCGGTTACGATCCAGTTTGATCAAGATTACGATTTTAACGATTCCGAGTTCGATTTTTTAAAAGTTCGATTTCAATTTGATTTACGGTTCGAACCGAATCATTACTATGTCTACCAGGGACTCGAGACATAACTAAACCGTATAATTTTATTGCGGTGAGTTGCAACGGAATCGACGTGGATGTAAAATTTCTGAATTCCTTCATTGAAAAGGACGCTCATGGTCTATCAGAGGACCATTTTTTCTATAACTATGAGTTAGACCAATCCCAACTTCACTCGTTTGTTTGGTGCATAAATACGAGATATCTATTTCTTCCCTAACATTGTCTTTTACCCTAGAAATAGGTGCAACAGTTTTCAATTGGTACCGCTCGAATATCGACGACAAATGAAAGATCCTAACAAGATTGCACGATCGACATCTAGTACAATGATAGATTGAGCTTGCTTTAATTCTAATTGCCTTTCCGAGTCACGGAGAGATCAGGAACCTTACAATGAAAGATCAGACAGCATATTGTTGGGCAATCCAAGAGTTCTTCGATTGAGCCACGGATATAGGTGCAACAGTTTTCAAGTGGGTTATAGGAAATTATATTGTTGGGTAATCCAAGAGTTCTTTGATTGAGCCTTTTCTTGTTAAGGAAAGAGAAAAAAAAAAAAAAAAAGGCTTCAGCTATATTTGTTTAGGAAAAAACAAGTTCTAGAGAAAAATTAATTCCTAAAGAAGTTATTTTTTAGAAAATTGTTTTCTAAAACATATTTTTTTGCTATTTGGCGAGTTATATGAAAAAATTATTGAAAAATATATTTCAGCTTTTTTTTTAATATAGAAAATTAAAATATAAAAACATATGTGATTGTTTTATCAATAAGTCTTAAGAAAACTTCAAAAAGATAGATTCATAATTTCACAATATAAGATATATTTAATAAATTTTCATAACTATTAACTCTAAAATTTTAATTCAAAAAATAAAATGTGCTTTTTTAACTATCAAACCAATTCATCAAAATTACTTGAAACAAAATCAAGTCAATATTCGCATTTAGTAAAAAAGATTCTAAGTAATCCTAGTATTTTTATTTATTTATTTATTTATTTTAGAAATTAAACTGATAATTTAGTCCGAAAAATAATTTTTTAAATTATTAGTTATCATTTATAGATAATTATTCATTTGGTATCAAAAGATTAATATTGGAATAATTTGTAACTAATTATTCACTACAATTACCAACAAAATTTTACAACTGATTAAATTTATAAATTATTGATTTAATTGCAAATGAATAATGTTGAAAAAATAATGTATTTATTGATGAATTAATTAATTATAATTTTTTTTACAAAAAATTATAGTCTCGTAATAATCATTTTCAATCATTTAAGTATAGTTTAGGTGGTGTTTGGGATAATAGTAAAAAAAAAAAAATAGAGATAAATTATTGAAATATTTATTATAAAAATAATTTATGGTGTAAAATGATTTTTAAAAATATTTAATATATCTATAAATCAAAAAATCAAATATTAGTAAAAATAGAGAAAAAATAATTAAATAATTAATAATAATTGATAAGAAATAATTAAAAACTAATTTGATATATTTGAAATAAAAAAGAAGATAGAGAAAAAAATTATTAAAATATATCAAAAGAAAAATAAATAATACGAGAGCGAGACAGTTCGTGAGAAGAAAAAAAAATTTTTTTTTGAAACTGAAAAAATATTTTATTATTTTTTATTTATTTTTTTTAAATATAAAATAAATACTAAAAAAAAGGAAAAATAAGTTCTTGAAAAAAAAAATTTTTCCAAACAAACGCAGCGTCAGTAGATTATTAGTCTCTTTAAGAGGAGGAGGAAAAAACGGTAAAAAGCAAAGGCTTAGTCAACACGTTGAAGACACATTAACAACAATGGACTTGAATTTTCTGGCCCAGAAAATAAACGACCGCCCAAGATAAATAAACGGACTTAGAGGTAAGAGAGTGATATTGAGCTCCCAGAATATTTTTGAAATCTTCTCATGTTTTCTAAAGAATATCATCATCTAAAAACATATAATTTAAAAAAAAAAAAAAAAAACGAAAGAATCCAAATCCAAATATTTACGAGCCCAATAATCAAATAGAAAAATCGTCCAAAAAAATCAAGGATGTCAAAGACCCTTACTAATGTCTTGTTCATGTGCTTGTCTAAAAGATGAAGCCATACGTTAATGTCTTGTACCTGTTAAACCAGACAGTCCTCCTCTCCTAGAAATTAGCTTTGCAATGTAAATACACAAATGTGTTAGTAAAAAAAAACATTGATAGTAACGATGATGATTTCATCCAACTCGTTGAGTATTTGATGTAATATATATATATTGGAGCATTAAAAATTCTTAACATTTGTCCTAAAAGTACATGTTAGCAGAATATGTATGGACTTTGGCAATAGTAATTAGTATGCTAATTTTTAGATTAATTTTTCTAACTTTAAATTTACTATAACCGATAACCCAATGGATCATAATACATATTGCATTAATAAATATAAGAATTTATATATTTTTTATCAAAAAAAAAAAAAAGAGAGAGAATATATATACATAGAGAGAGACACATGCAGAGCATACATATATGTAGAGAGAGAGAGAGCGACATGCAGGGCAGGCCTATTTCTTTCAAGGAACAGGTTAATTTGACTTTCTTCTAAGCTTTATATCTATCCCTAACAAAAGTATAGAAGTCTAAATAGCACAAGTAAATGTAAATGTAGTCGCGCCAAGACAAGACGCCTCAACTAGTTCCTTTTAAAAGGTTGTTTCAATGTGACGCTATCAGAATGACGTTACTATTTTTTAAAACAAAAGAGCGACCATGGTTTCTATTTATTTATTATTACTATTTTCTTGTACGGCATGCGGGTTCTTGATATCCGAGCTAAAAAGGCCTCGGTTTGTGAAAAAGGAAAAATAGAAAAAGAAATCATCCCAAGTTCTAATTGAAATTGAAACCCAATATCTGTGTGCTGGACTGAATTGATGATGTAATTAGCTGTTTCAGATTCAGGAGGTAGTGGTTTTTTTTTTTTTTTTGGGTAGTTTCCACTCAAAAAGCCATCACATCTTTTTTGTAATACAAAAATGTGGGAATTACATGGATCCCACATCCAAAACCAATGTTAAACCAAACGTCTCTATTTTTCAACCACTTCAATAGCTACCAACTCTACCTATGCCCGAATCTTTTTAAAGTATTTATTTGAAATTCTTAATTTATATTTTAGATTTAAATTATTATAAATTTTTATTTAAAAATTTATCTATAAGAAAATAAATCATATTATTTAAGAAGAATTTTTATGAAAAACATTAAAAAATTAATAATAATTAAAAAAATTATTAAATTTTGAAATGATTTTATTTTACTTACTTGCAGCATTATATAAATAATCTTAAAAATTAACTTTTTCATCAGCATTAAATAAAAAAATATATTAAATTTTAAAATCAATATATATAGAAGAATGAATTATGTTAAATTTTAACTTTTTAAAATAATTTTGTTTTAAATAATGTAATGCATGCAACCAGCTAATAATTACCTATATTGTAGCAGGTGACGGCCTAACAGTCTAGGTTTACTGAAGAGACGTTTTTAACCATAAAAAGAATAAACAAACTTTCTAGCGTTATCGTGCGATAAACGGGAGATGTCTAGCAAGCTCGAGCGCACAGCTTCATAACTTTCTGGCGTTATCGTGCGATATCGAAGATAAACTGGAGATGTCTAGCAAGCTCGAGCGCACAACTTCATAACTTTGTCGATAAAGATACCTACTTTCCTTCCCTTTCACGAAGGAATAATAAACCTTTATTAAAATCTGGTGGGTCTCCCATTTGAGGAAGCCGAATTACAGATCCGTTCCTCTCTTATAAATTAACCAATATCGGTAAGAACCCTTGTCCTGTGTGAGCGCAACTTTTCACTTTCGAGAGAAGGAAGAGGCAAAGTGAACAAGGTGTGGCTATTTGGGTGTTTGCAACCATGGATTCCATCAACCCTTTAGCCCGGAGCCGCAATGTTTTCAAGACAAAACGCAGGAGACAATGGGTACCCACAAATCCCCAATTCTATGTTCGTTTTTATTTTCTTTTTTAATAATTGGTCGTTTTGTTTCTTGACTGATTGTTACTATATCTCATGTTACTAACCCCAGAATTATTTGTAAAGATTATATACACAAATTCCCAATTCTGTGTTCTTCTTCTTCTTCTTTTTTTCCTTAATAATTTGTCGTTTTATTAATTGAACTATCTCTCATGTTACTTCCCCCAGAATTAATTGTAAAAATTATATATATATTTGTCACTAATTAACATATTTTACATGCATGGACGCCGGCCTGGCCTACAGAAAAGAGAGAAAAATATTACGAAGAACAGGGAGAGGAGGGAAAAAATGGAACGGTTGAAAACAGATATGGAAGGGATCAGTGAGGGACAAAAACGCATAAAAGAAGGGCAAGAAGAAATACGAAAAAAGTTTGAAGAAATAGAATCTGAATGCCACAAACTCAAAGAGGAGACTATGAACATAGCCAAACAGAGCGATTGCAACCAGATCAGGATCAATCTAATGTTTGGCATTGTGAAAGCACGTCAAGATAACAACTTTGCCCAGGCTGATCACCTTACTCAGCTCCTCCGGTTTGTTAAATTTTCTTTCACTGCTTTTCTTTATTAATTTTTGGGATATGTGAGATTTAATAATTTTGCTAGCTATATATGAAAGTAGTCACAAAGAAAAAGTTGACAAACTCTAAATAAAATCAAAATATATTGTTGATAATTTTTTTCCTTTTTCCTATTTGCTGTGTTGCTAGTGAGGAAATGGCAAAGGAATAGCAGAAACAAGGAAAGCCAAGCCTTGGCTAATTGTGGACGGCCACCAGACGATGACTAATTATGATGGAAAAACAACACAACTATCCTTTTGCATTCTTACTGACTCTTTATCGTCTTTATTTTTAAAATAAAATCAGCTGTAGATCATATGATAAACGAAAGATCCCAACGAGATCGGACGATCGACATCTAGTACAATGACAGACATAATCGATTGAGCTTGCTTTAATACTAATTGCCTTTCCGAGTCAAGAAGAGATCAGGAACCTTACAATGAAAGATCTCTGGTGGGTTATAGGAAATTACATTGTTGGGTAATCCAAGAGTTCTTTGATTGAGCCTATTCTAGTTAAGGAAAAAAAAAAAAAAGACTTCAGTAGATTTATCAGTCTCTTTAAGAGAAGAGGAGGAGAATCGGTAAAAAGCAAAGGCTCAGTCAACACTTTGAAGACAGATTGACAACAATGGACCTGAATTTTCTAGCCCAGAACCGCAACGATTCCACGTCAAAACACAGAAGACATTGGGGACCTACAAATCCTCCTATTCTTGGTTTTTTTTTTTTTTTTTTTTTAAATTGCTTTCTTTGTTTCCTTTGAATGGCTTTCTTTTTCTTTTTCTTTCTTTTTTTGGCATTGTAGACCAAAAATTAGTACATTTAATGTTACGAATTTTTTTTCTTTTACATATTTTGCATGACCAGCCTGGCTTATAGGAAAGAGAGAAAAATATTAAGAAGAAAAGAGAGTAGGAGGAAAAGAATGGAATATTCAAAGCAAACGAGGAAGAGATTAGCGAGGGACGAAAACTCATAAAAGAAGGGCAAGAAGAATCAGTTCAAAAGTCTGTACAAATAGAATCTGAATACCACAGAACTTAAAAGAGGAGACTATGAACTTATCCAAGCAGAGAATATTTCGCATACGCTAAGACAAAGACTTCGTTCAAGCTGATCACTTTACTCTGCACACGTATTTTCTTTTAATGATGTACGCATTACTGATGTTGTTTCTCTATTTCCTGTTCTTTCTCCCTTGCAAGAGAGGAAATGGAGAAGAAGAAATTAAACAAGGAAACCCAAGCTTCAGCTGATTCTGGTGCAACCAGCCTGTGAGTAATTAATGATGGGAAAACAACGAGCAGTTTGCATTTTCAGTGACTTTTAACCAGCACTAGGTATGTGTTGAGATTCTGAAACTATTTATGGAATTCATCGAACACAATAAAAATAGGTTTGTTGAAAATGGTTGGTTTGAGGAATGGTAGTGGATCCGTAATACAAAGATATTAATTAGCATATGTTTCGAGGAGGTATATATTATGTTAAACGGGGCATCAGTAACGAAGGGTTTGTCGAGGTGAGTAAATGGCTTATAAAAGAAGATTGGAACTTCCAATGGTAAACAAAGGGTAAACCAACAAGTAGCAAGAAGATAAACATATTAATATTGGATAAGAACTAACAATTAATTTTCTTACACATTTAATTCCCTTGGGTCTAAAAACAATTATTTTCTAATTGTTATAAAGTTGTAATGAAATTCATATTAGTCAATCAATAATCAATAAAATTATTTTTTGAACGATCTTAGTTTTTAACAAATTAAAAGTTAGTCACTAATTTTAATTAATTTTCCAATGTAGATTTTTTATATTTTTCCTTTCCAACCATGTTTGGAACTAAGTGACTACAATTGTTTGACCATTTATTATTGGCACCATCAACAATATGTATTGACATTAGCCTTCCTAGCTTAATTTTTAATTTGAAAAAGTTTGCATTATTTTTTCAGAATTGAATATTTTTATATGGGATAAAATCACTAAACGTCTCCCCACTTCAATTTTTAGACATATTAACCCCTTTACTTTATTTTAGTCTATAACAAACAAATAAATAAATTATTAGATAAATTGGTACTCATTGATCCCTCCATCCAACTTAGATATTTATTCTTAATGGTCATTCGATTCAAATTTTGGTACTCTATAAATAATCGTAGTGACCTATTCTTCTTCTTCACAAATAATACCGGTGCTCTCGACGACAAACAGCTAGGTCGAATGAAACCTTTATTTAACAATTCCTATATCCGGATCTTAAGCTTCATTAATTTTACTAAGGTCATTCAATACAATGCCTTGGATATAGGCAACTGTTCCGGTTCTAACTTGATTTTAAAGATCTCCCTCCTCGGAGGCAATATCGATAAACTTTTAGAATAAACATTCGGAAATCCTTAATCACATCAATTTTTTCTAACTTTGGGCACTTCTTTTTAGTATCAATCATGTTTACTAGGTAGCCCATGCATCCACCTTTTATCATTTTTTAAGTGGTCATTGTTGAAACTATGTTTATAGGTCTTACCCTAGATTCGACTTGCAACTCAAAGGGTTACTCACCCGATGGATAAACTATCACTTTCTTAGTTAGATAATCAATTAACGTTCCATTTTTAGATAGGCGAGTCCATGCCCAAAATAATGTCGAACTCTTAAATGCTCAAGACTATGAGATCAACAAATAAAATATGATCTCCAATTCTTACCTCACATCCCTTAATTATAGCATTCGATTCTAACGACTCTCCGGATGGGAGCACCTCTTCGTAAACAATACTCAAAACTTTAGGTGTTATGTCTAATCGACTTAACAATGATTGTACAATAAATAAATGCATGGTATCCGAATCTACCAATATATATGCGGTAAGATTAGAGATTAGTACATTACTGCATATCACATTAGCATGGTCCTTGTCTACTTCCTCCTATGTCATCGTGTATACTTGACCAAAAACTCATTGTCCTTTAGTTGCTTTCTTTTTCGAACGAGTTGATAGTCAAATATCTTTCTTCTCGACAAAAATAGCATACGTTCATGCTAAAATTATTAGATAAATTGGTACTCATTGATCCTTCCATCCAACTTCGTTATGTAAGTCCATTAAATTGAATAATTACCATTAATTAATCCAAATAGAAGGTCTAGATCATGCCATTTGTATGGTTTACTCTAAATATTAATTTCTAAAAAAAATTATTAAAATTAAACCCAAAAAAAAAACACTTGGTTAATTGTAAAAAATAAAATGCATTTTTATATTCTAAAAATTAAATTGAAAAAAAAAAGAACTTTAAAATTGAAATTGCTATGTCTTATTTATCATCATCCTAAGTTTTACATTTGATAAGTATTAAAAAATAGATTACAAAAAGAAAAAGATATTATCAGAATATTCACTAATTTCTAAAATCATCTCATTTCTTAGATCAAAATGCTTGCAAAAAACTGACCCATTGCCTTTTTTTTTTTTTTTTAAAGATAAATTCCAGATAGGTCATATATAGATAGTAGGACATTATCATATTAGATTTTGCATAAACTAATATTAAATCTATCATTTTTTTTTAGCTAAACTAGCGCCATAATAGGCTTAGTTTTTGATTGACCAATAGACTCTTAAATTTTTATATCAAATCAACCCAAATCTAATATTATTAAAGAATAATTATAGTTAGTTATTGATAGATGGCCTGAGCATCCTATAGATATTGGTAAAAATTAAACTTTAATCTTAGTCAAATCAAAATAATTCTTTCCTACTAGAACCTGAGCATCCTATAGATATAGCTGAATTAAGCAATCTGGCAACCAAGTTTTATGGCGATAGCCTTTGAATGTTAACAGTCACATGCAAGATGACAATTTATGGTTTGTAAAACTTTATCTCCTCTAACGTAATAGGTTGATAACCAATAGTATCTACTTCTTCATATTTATATGAGGTGCAGCTGAAATGCTTAAGACTACTGTTGGCTGTAGACTTATGGTGGAAACATTACTGGGAGAGGATTTGCTAATTAATAGAAGTAATGATACTGAACTTCATAATAGAAACTGTTTGGATGTACGCATTTTGGGTGAATAAAAAATTTTAGGAAATTTATTTTATATCATTGTGCAGAGAAAAATGATAGAGAGATAAAAAAAAAAAAAAAAGAATAATAATAAGAAGAAGAACAAACTAATAGAAAGAGAAAATAGTAAAAAAGAAGAAATTAATATGTGATGATAAAATATTTATTTAATAAAATAATTAAAAAAAAGTTGACATGTCAAGTTATATAAATGATATGGTTCTTATGTGTCACAAAGTACTTTATTTTGATAAATAAATTTAAAACTATTCTATTATGATAAATAAGATTTAAAAATACTTTATTATAAAATAAAAAAAACTCAAGAAATTAGATACCAAGATTACCCTTAAATTTTATTATTATTTAAAATAATAAAAAATATTATATAAATTTATCTGCAGTAACGTGCGGGTATTATGTTAGTATTCTTTTTTTTAAAAAAAAAACTCCTTTTTTCGTTAGGATGACACTGTTGGAACTTGGGCAGCGGCATTGGAGGCAAAGCTACACTTCGTAGGGAAGCTTAACTCGTCCCATGTTAACTCTATAACTTTGCACGGTAGGCTGATAAAAACTCCAAACCCGCTACTTATATACCCATTGGGCTACGAGGTTGATAGATTATATGCTTTATTGCTAAAAACGCGAGCCTTATTTCTCGAACCCACTCAGCCCGCTACTTATATACCCATTATCTTGTTGGTGTCTGTCGGTTATATAATTTTTCCCCTACATGAAGATTGTAGGTTCTTCAACAATGAGGAGGCGTGTGTTCCTCTCCATTCAAACCGTGTCGTTGCCCTCAGTAGTAAGTGCTGGGTCTTTTCCGACGCTCGGTAGTGAAAGGCTAGCTAATATTTGGATAAGATATTTCCATTTGCAGCACTCTTTAGAGTTCTACGCTATGTCTGCATGTGAAATTTCTTTAAATCTATGCAAAAGCTTTTGTCCCAAGAATTAATATTTTATGCATATTCCACCTTTAAAGTGAAAAATTAATAAAAATAATGTACCTAATCCTATCTACCAACTCTAGGATGTAGAAAGTATCTTTCAATATTATTTTTATAAACTCAGTCTTTTACAACAGGGTAATCGGATTTGGTGTAGGACCCCACCTGATACTATACTATACGCTATGTCTGAATGTGAAAGCTCTATCAATATTAGTAAGAAGAACCCATCGACTGGATGATGTTGTCGTCCTATGTATGAGAAACCTTAGCCATTAAGGAAGGTAATTATCATTGATCGTCAGTCATTGAATGGTCAGTTCAAGGTTTGGGTCGGTGTTCCCCAATAGGTCACAACGGTGGGCTAACTACACCTCTTAGAGACCAATTATATCATGAAACCTGAGTTTGGGTCTACTTTAGTTTGAAGCTACTTCTTGTCAATATTAATAACAAGTTTGAAGCCGAGTAACAAAAACCATTTGGGATTTGGCATCCAATGCTAAAATCTGTTGTAGTCACACCATTGTGCTAAGCTACTACGATCTAATCTCCATGGCCTTGAAATTGTCATGGCATATAAAATATGATGTGCCTGTTAACAGAAAGCTTGACACAATCTCCATGGCATATAAAATATAAGGAGGGATTTCATATTATTTATGAAATAATTAGTGTAATTTTGTCTATAATAGAAAGATGGACACGAAGAGAAAAGAGAAATAAGAGAGAGAAATTGTTTTTGAAAAAAAAATTAAGCCTCAATAGAATTTTTTTTTTTTAATTATTTTTAATGAGTTTGGATGTAATTTTTTTTTTTTTTATCTCTTTCCTAAAAAATCAACCCATAAAATAATTATTACTCTTTGAATATTTTAAAATTTATATGAGATGAGATTTCCAGTCTAAGACCTCTAGGGTTGTAGTGTCATGTAAAATAGAATTTTGCAAATCAGAGGCTCATGAGCGAGGGACCCTAGTAAATATACTAAAACTAAATGTAATTTCACACTAGCTAAGCATTTTTTTTTAAAAACAAAGTGTTGATATTTTTGTTTATGTTGTTTCTTATTTTGTAATCTTACCTCTATTTTGGTCATTTGAATTTTGATCAAAAAATTTTTGGCCCTGCATTCTATAATTTTTTTTTTGTACTTTTTATAATTTTTTTATATCAAATATAAATATGAAATAATAATAAAACCAAAAACCTAATAAAAGATTGAATTAAACTTTTTATTTCTAGATAGAGATAATGTAATCTCCAAAATTTTATTGTTTCTAAGCCCTTTTGGGCTTTTAGCTAAAGTTTAAGTTTTGTTTTGTTTTTTGTTTTTTTTATGTGAATCTTACTTTGTTTTGATCATTAAAATTTTGTCACGTGTGATTTTTATCCCTACCTTATGAATAATGAGATTTTTATATGTACTATTTTTATGTTTTTTTTTTGGCTTTTAGTGAATTTTTTTAATTTTCTTTTGTGTTTTGTGATTTTTGTCAAATACGTTTGATCATATCAAGACAAATAGACTATAGATAAAAAAAAAATTGATGAAAATTATGACAATTCAAGATTCAATAAGCTGCCATATTATTATTTTAATTATCAGTTGTTATATATGTTTATAATAAAATGTTTGATTGTATAAAGAAATATTTAATTAATAATATTATATTGCTTAACTTCAAAGATTTTTTTTGTTGTACTTTTTTTGCATGGTATTTTTTTTACATAATTCTTTTGCACAAAATATTTTTTATTCTAGTCATCGTTTGATATATTTGTTTTTCTTATTATTATTTGATAAAAAGTCAATTTGAAAATTTTTATTTCTATAAAGTAGATTTATATAAAAATTTTGAAATAATTTTTTTCTATACTATTTTAAATTATCATATTACCATCGCAGGCTGTTAGAAATTTATATAGTTGAATACATGAAAAGATTACTTATCTCAGTACTGCACGCCAACGCTGAATTTATAAAGCCGTGACAATGCAGCACTATGTATGATTATAAGACATATAAAGACATTGATATGACATGGAAGATGCTTAAAATTCAAATATGATAAAAAAAAATCCGACAAAAGAATAATAGTAAAAAAGTATACAAAATTTTTTTGTTGATGCTAATTGCTAAGATAGAAAAAAGAATTCCAGATGTTTTTCCATTTCTGACGTGGACCAACGGATTTTAGAGTTCACAAAACGGTATGAATACGATAAAATTAAAAAAAAATTGTCGGATCAATTTTAATGTTTTTTGAACCTAATTCAATGTCAAATGGGACAACGATCAAAACATATGGATTTGCTGATTACCTTGGAGTAATTTTGGTCAAAAAAACTGTTATTTAGACTCTCAAAATCAATTTTTACTGTTTTTCAAGATTTTTAATAATTTCAGATCTTTAGTCCTTGTTTTTTTTTTTTAAATTGCTTAAGGATTTTGATCATAATTTACTATTCGTATATAACTTTAAAGCTAAAAAACATCATTTTTGTTAGACTAATAAAATTTATGAGAGAATATCTTAATTTTATCTTAATTTTTGATATTCTTTGAAACAACCAAATAAATTAATAACTAAATTTTAAATTAATATAGTTTTTTTAGTGAGTTTTTGCTATGCGAATCTCGTTCGGAGGATTGAGGTTTTGGACTGCTTTTAGGATATCGAGGAAATGTGTGGAAAAAGCTATCTGGCTAGTCGCTCAGTCTGTCGGCATCATGTTCATTGAAGTAAAAACCGATCAAGCAATGTCTTGTTTTTAGCTGCCATTACACATGGAGAGCACGGAGAAGACGCAGGCTCTTGTTCATGTTAATATAATGTTCAATCTCTCTTTAAATAATCTAGTAATTCTTATATCTTTATAATTTTTAACGAGTCAACTTTATTTTTAAAATATACATTAAATTTTTAATTTATTAATTAATAAAATTTTTAGATTAAATTGTCAAAATTAGCCGTATAATTTGCACATTAAATCCCTACATTTCTTTGGTTTGCAAATATATTTTAAAAATAAAAATTAACAAAAATATGGATTTTCAAAATATTATTATGATGTTTGAACTGCCACTTCCAACTACAATAGTGCAAGTTTTTCTTTTCCCACGATTTAATATTTTTCACCCTGCTTGATATATAATTTGATGCATTTTTCAAAAATAAATTACTCTAAATTCTAATGTGGATTTAAACTTTAAAAATAAAGCAATTGAGCAAATGTCTTGCCCACCAAACACGTTAGGGTTGTATATGATACTATTACAAGCAAATGTTTCTTATAAACTAAGATTTTGAGCATTATAATTATACAAATAAATAAATAAATAACTTGAGAATTGTGCAGTCCTACACTATCTTATACTTAATTAATTAAAAAAAAAGTGAAAATGATATGATTTAAATTTATAATTATTTAATCATTAAAGTTTTGATATCATGTCAAATAATTATCTCATTTAAAAACTTAAAGCTGTGAAATTAGATTTTAAAATATAATTTATATTATTTTCTAACAAAATCGATTAAAAAAAAAAAAAAGCAATCTTGAAAAGTGAACATAAGGAAACAACCCATTCACCATACCTTTAAATTAAAGTTAAACAAGATGACGATGGAAGAGGGAACACGAACAACAAAAAAGTAGATCAAACAAGAATGCAGTGCCAGAGTGATCAGTTATTTTAGAAAACTACAAAGACTAACTTATAATTAACTCATGTTCAATGCAATCTTAAAAAAATCAGTGTCCAATATCTGATGGTAGGAGGAAAAAAAAAAAAAAAATCAGTATGGAATGCTCACGTCAATTTGAGATTTCTTTATTAAATGTCGGTCATAGTTTTGTGGAAAAGAAATACTCTAGTGGAAATCGAAAGGTACCAAATTTGATTTAGAAATGTAGATTAAAGATTTCCAAAATATGGTTTTCCAAATGTCTATATATAGTGGCAACAGGAAGTATCATATATTAATATATATCCAGAAGATTTTTCACACTACCTAGTAACGGAGATTAATTTTTAGGTCATTCCATTAGCTAGCTAATAAGCAAAGCCAGACTCCAGAGAAGCGTTGGCATGCTACAATCGAAGCAACCAGAAACTTAAAACAAACTAATAGTTGAAAGCTATTAATTGATCTCAACAAACTACGCATACGACAAACCTTATTAATTGCAAACAAACTAATAAACTAAAACAAATTACTTAGCAAGAGCAGAAAGCCACTTCCAGTGATCTCGAATATTATGAATGGCGGATACCTATTATCCTTCATTTCTTCTTCCAACTATATATGCCACTCGCATCCGCAAATACTGAAGGATTCTTCTTCGTGCTTTGCTTCATCATGCATTCTCTGGCAATAAAACAAGCAGAGCTGAAAAAGTGAGGACTTTATGCTGAGAAATCAAACAAAAAATTGCTTACAACATATATACCTCTGCAGCATATAAAGATTTTGTTGAATTGTCTATTAATAACAATTAATATGTTCTAAGATCAGAGGGCATATATAGAACCAGGGGAGATAGGGGCACTGACAATCAACTAAGTTTGCAGGATGGGGATGGTTTAAGCTTATTCGATTTGTTGTTTTGCATTTCATTCTGTGGAGTTGAAAGTTCATGGTCAGTACATGGACTATTCAAAAGATGGTTCTAACAATTAAACATGTTTCCTTGCTCGTCAATTTGATGTCAGGCAATTATAACAAAACGTACTCGCAAACTGACGTGGAGTGTTTTCTTTACTTGGAAATCAAACATCTCTGATATGAGACATGATGTACTGGGTTGGCCATTCCAACAGTAAATTCTGCATGTTCTGCAATGCTTGTGTAAACAAATCTTTGCTTATATATTTCCGCTATTTTCAAGTCACAGCCTCAATTCCCCTCTTCGCAGGCCACTTTTATGATCTCTTCTGATGCTTGAGAATTGCAATGCAATAGATTACTTAATAGAAAGTAATACTCTGATAGTTCAAATCTAGACCATTTTACATGAAACTCATCTAATATCGGGTGCAAATGCTAGGACGTAGGAGGATTAGTTCGTGCCAAGAAGCCTAGAAAAGTAATACCCTGATCGAATTCTCAAAATTAGCTCTGAAGCCATTTGTGTTTCCGACACAAAGATATACATGTAAACTTAAAGGGACCAAGAAAATTTTAATTTCAAACTCTGCACCAATCAGCAATCCATTCATCCATGCATTCAACCAGTAAAATTCCATAAGGATTTTGTGTAACAAAACTAAAGAAGATTTAGGGGAAACTAACCGAAGAGACTGAGTAAGTTTAGAAGCTTCATGAAAATTGTTCTCGCCCTGTGCTTTCAAAATTTTCAACATAAGATTGAGGCGCTGCTGATTGCTTGCAGCCTGTTGCCATATCAGGAACGTTTCCCTTTTGAGTTGATCACTTTCAAACTCAATCTCGTTAAACTTCTCTCTGATTTCCTTTTGCCCTTCTCTATTACGGTTCTGTTGTTCAACAATCTCTACCATCTCAGCTTTTAACCTTTCCACACTGGCTTTTGTTTTTCTTCTTTTTTCCTTTTCTGTACACATTTTTTTTAAAAAAAACATAATTTTAGATTCACATTATAACAAGCCATAATCATAAAATTAACATAAAACAGGTATGAAAGTACCCTTTGGTCAATTTAGCAACTAAAGTAGAACTGCTAAACCTACTTTACATGTCATCGAAAAGAAAAACGATAAACGTAAAGATATACGGAAGCTACTTTAGAATTGCTAGCTGTTCATGTAGGGACAAAGTTGATATTTCCTAATCATGAAGAAGAACAATTCGCTATATATGCTTTTTATCTTTAAAAATGCCCAACTTTCATTAGTTTTATCTTTGAGCATATTCAAAATTCAAAATTTTTTAATATATGCCATTCTTCATCCAATTGAATGATGATGCGCTCAAGTCACCAAAAGGATGGTGGCACACTTTTGCAAAAGTTCTTTGGGTGAATTTGCTGAGTTTTTCATTTAAAAGCTGCAACAGACTTCCTAAATTGGATTAAAATGATAAATTAGAAACTAGTTCAAAATATAATAGTAGATTAAAAAAAAAAACATATTGAAAAATTGACCTATCATATAAAAACAGATGAGGGTATTAACTCTTATTTTCACAGTTCTAGAGAGACGACCCTTCCGAGTAGGGATGGCAATTGGCGAATACCTAGCCTATTAATTCAATAATTTACCCTAGTCATAAAAATAATAACCTACCTAATATCTATTAAGAAATTATTATATGAATCTTTACTCGGTCTATACCAGGTCTATACTAATTTACTCGCCCAATTTAATAACCATTAAATACCAACTAAATTTAATTGTCAAAAATATTCTTTTTAATCCTTATAATTTTTTTTAAAAAATTTTATCCTTAAAATTTAATTATTATTATGATTATTATTATTATTTGCATTTTGTTCATTTATTTATAAATTTTTTTGGTCCTAAAAGTTTTCAAAAAAAATATTTTGATCCTTAATTTTTAAATTTTATGCAATTAGATCTTTGCATATTAATAAAACAAAATGTAAATAAATTAGTGGGTATTATTGGGTAAATATACATATCCTGAAATCATATTAATGGGTATGTATTTTTTTAACGATATCCACTTCAATACCCATTAAGAATATACTCATTAAATATTTTTCATTAGTATTTATTGGACTGGATAAAGTGGATATTTGTTTTATATTCGATTCATTATCATTCCTACTTGTGACCCTAGAACAGAAAATAATTTCACTCTGATCCATCCGAGTAAAATATCCCTACCATTCAAAAGCAATAAAAACCTAAAATCTATATTAGAGAAAAAAAGTCTAAAAATAAAAATAGACAATTAATTGGATTTTAAACTTAAAACCCTTGGTTTAACTAGTTCTGCTCCAAATGAACAAACATCGTACTATAATTATAAGATGTTAGCATGCATATCAAAATTGTAATAAATTGGAGGTAGCATTGGCGGCATCAATTAAACATTCTTTGAGGAGCCATCTCTGCAATTAGCTCAAACCCCATGGCAAATGGCCGCAATAAAATTCTACATACCTGAAGCTTACACTCAATCGATCTCCTAGGCCTTGCTTCATCAGCTACCATTGTGCATTCCATGATCCTTCTGCAATAGTATCGGCTTGTTCTTTCTTTCTTTCTTTCTTGTATCAGAAACGGTTGATGTCTCTCTATATGATCAACAAACGAATTTCAGCAATCGCAATATTAGTCTACCAATTAACTTGGGAAAACTAAGCGTCGGCTACTTTCGAGCAATGAATCGATCGGGCAAACACTTGCAAACATTGCCTCGTACTTATAAAAATATTATTCTGGACAAACTTCAGAGGAAATTTCGTGCGCTCTTTCTTCCTTTTTAATCCAAACGATCTTACTGCTATGCCAGACGTGAGTCACGTTAGGACACGCGCGATGGTAGGGCTTTATCGGGCGACAGAGCCCTACAATCCAACTTTTTCTAAAGAAGAAAAAGAAAAATCGTTATTAGATGCAGACTGGTCTTAGCAAGGTTGACTTGCTTGATAAATGGCCCCGCACAAACCGTAATGCGAGGATACGAGAACTTTCAAACGGAAAAGTTCAAATTTAATGATATTATGAAAAATATTTAATGATATCATGATGATAAATATTATTTTAAAAAAAATTTAAAATTAAATTTAAAAAATAAAAATATTAAATGACATAATATCTATGAAAATAAAATATCTTTCTTTGTATTTATTTAAGAAAATAATACTCTTATAAAATTATGTTGATTTATTTTTTTTTACATCACTAATACCATGTAACATCACTGATAGGTTGGATTGTTGTTTGGTTAATTTAGAGAATTCTGGAGACAGACAATTTTGGAACGTAAGCCGAGGTGTGGATGGAAAATTAAGAGAAATTTTGTGGTAAAAACAGTACCGGTACTGTCTTTTAGCTTGATCTTAATAATAATAATAATTAATTAAAGCATATAATAAGTACTTAACGAAAACACGACGACAATGGCTTGAAACTATCAAAAAAACAACAACAGACGTACGAATGGCAACCATGCATGATCCACTGATCCCACAGCCACCTATTCACATGAAACCTGCATGTGCGCCATTTGGATTTGTTGCGTCAGCTGGAATGTATACGTAACGTATACCAAAACCCATTCATGTGACCTGGTCGTATTAATTAATTTTAATTTTTGTTTTTTCCTTACGATCACATTCTTTGGACACAAATTACAGACACATGAAAAGATATAGATATTACGGCATTTTTTTATCCCTAAAATATTATATTTTGATAATTTCAAATCCAAAGTATAAAATTATATAATTTGAATTCTAAAATATAGGGAATTAGATAAATTTAATACAAATTACCTAATTTTTATTATTTGTAATGATCAATTGTCAATTGACTCGTTACTTAATTTTTTTTTTTTTTTTTTTTATAGTTGAAGTAAAGAGAAATGTCTTTACCCTTTGAGTTTCTCTCCTAGTGCTTGTAATAACCAAAAATTTACCCATTTTATTTTATTTTATTTGTTTAATTTTATTTATGTTTATTTTTATTTTATGTCTTGTTTATTTCTTTTACATCGGAGTTTACTACAAAAATAAAAATAAAAAAAATTGATGAAAAAACACAAAAATATTCATTCGGGGACACAATTGCATTTAAAGGAAGATATAATTGAAGTAATTAGGTGTATAATTGAAACAATTGAAAAATTCAAAACCTAAATTGCATCTTACAATGACCCAATTGATAAGATTGTGCTTTATAAAGACTGAAATTATACCACATAAGAGCATAATCGCTGAAAATTGAAATGCATAGGGACTAAGTTGGAATTTTGGAGCGGACGAAAGGATCGAAATGGAGAGGACGACCTGTCGTCCTCTCCAATTTTGATTTCTCTCCGAAAATCTTTGGGAGAAATCTGCTAAATATTCCACCAAATTTTCTGTTTTGATTTTGCATTAATCATGAATTAAAGAGGAAATATTGTGACGGAAAATTTGGAATTGAGATTTGATTCTAGGAGAAATTCTAGGAAGTTTTGGCTATAAAACGAGTTTGATTTCATAGAAAAAGGGAGGAAAAAATTGAGGGGGAAATTCGGGTTAAGAGATAGGAAAATCCAAGCAAAAAGGGTTTGATTTTTTATTTTTTATAGCTACGTTTTCCGGATTTTTCCGGGTTTTGGGTCGAAGGTGTTCATATTTCTAAGCTTAGTTCATCGTCCGTCGGTCCCCTTTAGTCCTTTTTGGTGTTCTTTCCATGGTCGATTTTCCATCTCGTGAGCGTTCCTCGATCCAATTTCCCGAATTTGGGACCTTGTTCTTCATAATTTTGGGTTTCCCCTTTTGAAGTTCTAGGTAACCACTTGAAGTTCTTCATACGCCCGGGTTCGTGTTCTTCAATCTCCTGGATGGAGTTTCATTCGGCTTAAACCGCTGGATCAAATTCTTTGTTTTGAATCTCATTCGGGCATATCGAAACCAATAAATGTTTTTTTTTTTTTTTTTTTTTGTTTTTTGAATCTCCCGAAACCATTTTTGAGTTTCAATTTGCATTCCTTTCGAACAACGAATCACAAATCAAAGGTCTATTGCCTTTTTTTTTTTTTTGTATGGATTCAATGATTCGCAAGTCCCAAATGTTTGTTAGTTACTTGTTTAAGTTTTAATTCTTGGTTTGTCATTGAAATAAGAGTGTGAATAACATATGTTAGCAATCATTTGTCCGAAATGGGGTTTTAATTTTTTGAAGAAAACTAGAAAATAGAGAGAAGAAGTTAAGAACCCGAAGAACAAGAGAGAGAAAGCATTGAAGGCTGGAAAATTATCGGTATTGATCTAAAAAAATGAAAAATAAAAAATGGATCTTGTTTTTAGGCTTGAGGTCCAGACTTGGTTTTTCTTAAAATAAAAAAAAAAACTATGGGCTCAACTATTATCGATCCGACTTGTGGTCCCTTTGTTAAGTAAATAAATAAATAAAAACGAGAGGGCTAGTCGGTCTAGCCAAAAAAAAAAAAAAAAAGGAAAAAAGGTAAATAAAAAAAAGGAAAAATGGAATTAGGAAAAAATGAGAAAAACGGGGGGGGGAATAGGTAGGAGAAAAATAAGTTGTGGGTTAATAGATTAGGTATATGATGAATTTATTTATTTATTTATCTATCTATCTTATTTTTTATTATTTATTATTTTTTTTATTTTTTTAGCTTGTTATTTTTATTCCTTGACGCTTGTTCTTATATTAATTTAGAATTGTTACTTCAATGTTTTTTTTTCTTTTTCTTTTTTTGTTGTTAGATAAAATTTCTAAAATTTTTTACGAAGCCTCCTACTTGGTAGGGTCTAACGCCACCAAAAAAAATATAAAATAATAATAATAATTTCGACGAAGTCTCCTATCCGATATGGATCGACGTCACAACAAAAAAATATCTAAAATTTTCGATGAAGTCTCCTATTAGATAGAAACCGATGTCACCAAAAATTACCTTTTAATTAGGATGTTCTCTAACACAACGATTGTATCAAGTATAATAATGGATTTAGTGTTTGGACCGACGTGTCGCCCGACGAAGGGGATCGATGATCGTTTCAATATGATGCCACGCCCAAAAATTAAAAATTCAATTTGGTTTTTTAAAAAATAGGAGTTTAGAAATCAAAAAATAATTTGATATTTTAGGAGAAGAATTCAGAAAAAAACCATACATGGTACCTTTTTTCGAAAAGGACACTTTTAGGTGATTAAATATCCTTCTAAAAGTGTAACCAACTCCTTACCTTAGGAATCTCCGAACCGAGTGCCTATTTTAGGTTCCTAGTTCCTTAAATACTAGGTGGCGACTTCAAAATTTTGTAAATAATTTTATAAATTATTAATACTTAGATTTAATCTTTGGAGAGTCCCATCCGACGTTGTGTAGCGACATAATGGCGACTCTACTAGGGAATAGAGTTAGACCATAGGTTTAGTTTTTGATTTGTCTCCTGTATTTATTTTTGTCATTTTAGTTTCTGAATTTTATCTATTTTTCTTGTATATATTTAAATTTCTCTAATTTATTTTCTAGTTACACTTTTACTTTGAATTAGGTTGTATGCTTTTTCTTTTAATTGTTGCACACACTATGAAGGAAACCCCTAAAAGCTCTAGACTCGAGCTAAACCCCGATAGGAATTAGATAGTTGGATTTGGAGACAAGTATGACGAAAGTCTACTAATGCTCTTCTACACTCTCGTTTAGACCAAAACTCACCTTATACATTGAAAATGATCGAATGACATTCCCCTACCTCTTAGTGTATAAGGTTAGAGGCTAGATTACCCTACTAGTAATTTAGGAAGTCTAGAGGCTTAAAAAATCTATAGGACTAGTCAAGCTTTACCCAACCATAGAAAAGCTAGATCCTAATTAGGGTTGACCCAATTAAGACACGAATCTTTACCAAATGATAACGATACCGACCCTTGGTTTTATAAGTTATCCTTCATATTAAATCATGACGAAGAAATTAGTAACGAGGTCGAGGATTTTAGGGTTAGGTCTAAGCGGGTCCAAAATGAGCAAGGAGTTTACTCCGCCCTCAAGTTTCGTGTCGAGACCGCCGTGAAAGGGTTAAATTAGCCGACGGGATGACTAATACGGGTCCGCTTCTCGGTTGTTAGGAGATGCTCACTTTCAAGGCTCAAACCGCATGCTTTCAAGACATGATAGGCCATTGGCATCCGAATTATCGTTGCTTCACCTTCGAAAGTGTAGACTCGTCACCTACACTTGAGGAATATAAGGCTCGCTAGCATTTTCCAAAACAGAGGCTCTCTACTTCTACAGTCCGGCTGAACACGCTTCATTAAACTTTGCATGGTTGATTGAAACTAACACCACTTTGGCCAAGAAGCAACTAACCTAGAGGAGTAAATCTCAAGGTTAGTTTTGGGACATCCTTCAAGCGAGAATTCATGAAGCATTTATAAGATCCCGATAACTAAGTTAGACTTCGAATCTTGGCACTAGCAATATATGGATCGGTGTTCTTACCATCGATCGACAGACATGATCAATGTTGAGGCGAGTTAACGTA